ATCAGAGACGTGAGATTTTGGTGCTCCCATCGACCGCTTAATTGACATGTAACTAGTTTGTATTTGGATGGTACCCTGTTGGTATCTTGTGCATAATAATATTTTGCTTTTATTTCAAAAAAAATTGTAGGGGTTTTTTCCAAAATCTAAAATAGCAAAATAGGTTGCGTTGGTATTCATCTATCAAGATCTAATCTCACTCCTACACCAGACGGAGTCACAGCCTCACCGCCAGCCTGCCCCTCGACTGAGGTGATCCCAGAGTATGTGAGCCGCATGTGCTGCCGTTGGCCACCACGCCTGCTGCGAGACTCATAAGAAATCATCACATTACCATGCGGATGCTCAGATCTGGCATGGATTTGGTGAAAACGCGTCGAAAAGTGCCCACAAAAGCTGCGGATCTGATTTTGCACAACTGGCGACCACCACGCCTGGTTCGTCTTCTCCTGCCAGATCTGGCCTTCTTCCGCTCGCAAAATTGGTCGGCTTCCTGCCGCAGTGCCGTGCACCAACAAATCTGGTTGGCACTGAACGGATCTTCTCCTGCTGCGAACCGATTTCCTTCGCACAGATCTGGATGCAAAACGCTGACCTTCTGTTTTCTGATCGTCCATTGGCGCACCTCTCTTGGTTTCGCTATCCAGCTTCTCCGCGCGCGAGTCATTCCAATCGACCTTCTCTAATCCTTTTTCCAACTCCTCCGTGTGCGGCCACCTTTGGTTTCGCAATACCGACGCCGATCCAGTTCTTTTGCTGCGAGTTGCTACGACCCGCCTTCTCTGATCCTTTTTCTGCCTCCTCTGTACGCGCCCACCTTTGGTTTCGTGATATCAACGCAGATCCGGTTCATCCGTGCGACTACTACTGACTAAATAGTTTATTTTTTCCGGTCACTGACTTTGGGCTTGTAGCATATTTCCCTTATTGACCTAATCCTGTTGTTTCTAACTTCTTAGGTATTGGGTAGAAGCTTTGTTCTATCCCTGTGAGATTAACTATTGGATGTTGTTCTTTCTCTTTTATTTAAATCATGACAAAAGCAATAAACTTTTTCAGAGCTTGATTTGCAAGTTAGGCATGCATAATATCTTTACACCAACTTAAGGAAAGATGTTGAATAAGATATTTTATTATTTAATTAGTTAAAATGATATAATTAAAATTCAATTAAAATAGTAATCTCATGTAATTAGAATTCTTCATCCTCTTCTTTTTTTCAAGTTTAGTCACCATGTCTTAGGGTGCTGACATATTGTTACTATCTATTTGTTTATATAGGGCCGTAATATTCAATGAAATAAACATATTCATTCTTTCACATGCTTCAAAGGTTTCTAGTTGAAATTATATTTAATTAGGTGTGTTTTCATTGCAGCAATGCGAGGCATGGTGGAGGAACGATTATACCAAACCTGAACTTCAGCATTCCTTGTGCAGTTCTGGCACCTATCTTCGAGTTTGCAAGAGGTTGGTAAAACTACAGTAATGCCTTTTTGTCTCGTTATGAGTAATTCAGCATGTTCACGATCTATAGCTTAAATTTATTGGTTACTACAGTAATTACAACAAAATAGGAAGCACCAATTTAGAAGTTTTCTTTCTTGGCTTCCTTTACTTTTTCTATGGTCTTGCTCTGGATCTCTTTATTGGATTTGTGGTTATGTCACCTAGGAGAAATCTCAATTATCTCCCATTAAGAGTTTGAAATTATCAATGTATGAGATGTGATTCAATTTCAAATGTGAAATAAAATGTCGTATCAATTTCATGTCGCTTGTAGATGGGTTTTGCAGCATTGACTTCTATTTTTGGTTACTTCATTTAATTATATTTGTTAGAGCTGATAAATCTTCTCTTTTTGTTTTGTTCCTTTCTCCTCCAAACAGACATGTCAGACCTGTCACTTCTTCAAAATCTTGATCAGCCAAATAAACACCTTTCTTCAATATGGGCATTGATGCCACCACTATCTTCCAAGCCAAAATCTCCATCACCTAACTTGCCAGAGTCTTTGATGGAAGATCATAAGAAAGAAGGTAGGGGTTCCCGTTTTTCAAAATTCATAGCTGAAAGGCATGAGATCTTGAAAGGGTCATCTCCATTTGGCAAGGCAGAAGGGTTCTCTAATGTGCATTTACCTAGTAAGTTATAGCCCTGCATTTTTTTCTTTCATAGAGTATCAGGTATCAGCAGAATAATTGGAATCAGTTTTCTGAAATGCCATTTACTGGATAGAGTTGGGGTTGTGGGAGAAAAGAGTATGCTTTCTTGGAAAATTGTAGTATGTAATCTGTATAATAATGAAGATCAAAAGGCAATGAATTTAAAAAGAACAATATTGTTTCCTTCAGCACTGTATGATAATTCTTTACTTCAATTGCATCCTGTTCTATTTTGATGACTTTTTATACAAAAAAGTATCGAAATAAAACTTTATTTATGAGATGATAAAGAGATATCTGAGGTCGTGTTCTTTTTCCATTGTAGGCCAAGCAATAGTAAGTTTCATAGCACATTCTTTGCACTCCTATATTCATCGTCATATTCATCATTTAAACCTAATGCTGTTTAGTTATCACATTAATAGTTTTCTTCTGGTTGGTAATTGATATGTATTACAAATGGTTTTTATTAATAAAGCTTTTCTTTTTTTTTCATCTATAAAGTGATTAAGAGTGCTAAAATGTTTTCAAAAAGGATGTGGAGATAATGTGTAGTTTAAAAAAGAGTAAATTGTAATTTCTCCCTGAGTTCGTTCTGTTATTGTTCTGCAGAACAGGAATTTCTTACTATTACGAGATATTCATGTGTAGTTTAAAGAATAGTCTATTGTGTACTGTTCCAAATATTTAACTTAAGAGCTATTAAAATAAGTTCATTATTGATTTAGGAATTTTCTCTAGTAGAAGTCTTTATTATTTTTTTATGAAGAATTCTAGCCATATTAGACTCTCTAACAACCACATGTCCATGAGTGGTTCATCATTATTTTTTAAGTTGTTTATGGATAAAATTATTGATTTTCTCATTGAATTGAGAGTTTAACAATTCCGTGATTGTGTTTGTGATAAATCTGTAGTTGTGGTTGTTATTGATTTCTATGGTTAAAGATAGAATTTAGTTTTTTTTAAGCATTTTCTAGTTTTGTAAATTTCATTCCTTTGTGCTACATCTACTATGCAAAAAGCCTCCTATTTCAAAACTTAAACAAGAAATAATCTTCAATCAGCTGTAGAAGAGGATTCAAAAGCTTGCTTTCATGGGTATCTGGTGAACTGCAGTGGTGGCTAACGAAGAAAGGGAAATATTTAATCACATTCATGCTAGAGGATAGATGAGAAGTAAATTCAGGAAACTCGGATTTGATTTTCGAAAAAACAAGTATCATGCTAGCAATGAGGTTTGACTTAGTGAGGAAAAGATCTCATTAGAGAAAGTAGTAATGACTAGTTAGAAATTGTTAGGGAGTAAATTTCTCTTAATTTTGGTTCACTAAGTGGGTTTAGGAATTTTTTTTTTTTAATCAAGAAGACTAAGAACATTCAAAAACTAGTAGTGCATATGTGTTCGATAGAATTAAAAAATCTAAGAGGAGTATTTTTCAGAAGATGAGAGGATGACCTAGGAAGCAAAGCTCTTCACTCAACTGATGCAACCAGTTGAAAAGATAAAGAATCCATTGGAATCTGTATCCCAAGCCCAAGCTAATAGCTTAAGAGGTAGGAACACTACCAGGTTGAGATTGATAGTGATTGCTGAGAATTGTGAAAGTGAAAACGCTCTTCCACTTCAAACTTTTAAATGGTCCAGAGAAAAGGAAAAGAAGTCCTGGAGTCTAGCTGTGACAAGGGGAAAACATAGGAGATTATTGTTGGTTTAGTCGTTGTTATATTAGCTCTAAGGATAACAAGATAAATCTTAACACGCCTTGTTATGCTTGCTGGAAAGCAATCTGTTTCAGAAAGGGGGACAAGTGATATCTCTGAGGATAACAGTGACGGAGGTGAAAATGATAGTTCCTAGGGTAGCATTCAAGACCCTCTCTTAGATATCCAATTTTTGATTTGGAGTTGATGATTTTACAGTTAGGCTTGCTGTGGATGATCTTTTGTTAGTAACAAGGTGAAGATGAGGACGACTTGGAGGAAGTGCATGAAGATATTAGTTTTGTAAATGAGACTTTTCTCGTTATCAGGATACTCTTTCTAGTCAACCAACTCCTAGAAGGTGAAGAAAATATTAGGCCTGAGAGGGAACAGAGTTGGATAGCTTTGTTTAGAATTTACATTGGAGCAGAACCATAATCTTATACTGGGAATGAAATCTTCAATTTTGGCAATTTCTCTTCCTCTCTTATCCAAATTGTTTTTTGTATCGAATTCTCATATTTTGACATTTGATAACTTTTTTCAGGTTGAGACCAAAATGATGGTAGCTTTAATAGAGGAATTCTCCCAACTCTTAACTAATAATCTAATTATGTCAATCCCCGAATGTTGTAAACTTCTCAAAGTGTTCATAAATCCTTCCAGATGGATGCTTGACTTCAGGTAAGGAAGGGAAATCAGAGATTCCGCCCAAAGACTAGCATCAGGAAGAGAAACTCTGAACCAAAGTTAGAAATTAAAAGGTTAAGCTTTAGCCATCCAATATGGAAAATAATTAGGGAATTGGGTCACCACAAAGGATGATCCGTCCGTATTAAGAAGTTGGGTGCGAATAGAGTTACTTCGAGCGTGTAATTTTATCTAGGATTACGAGTTTAGAAACCTTCATCTCTCTAATTTCAATTTACTTAGTCGGGTGAATATCGGTTGTATTGTTTATTTTTTCTTATTGACTAAGTTCGAACTATATGATTGTTGGGATTACAGATTTGCATGATTTAGTTAACTATGGCTTTGGCGACAGTCGCAAACCGAACTAAAAAGATGGATGTATATTCGAATGAATGGCGTAATTGTAAGAAAGTATGTCTTTTAGTTATAGGCCAAGCAAACCAAACTTTGTAGTTATGGCCATACACTAAAACTTATATGTCTCATATTTTTATATAAATAATACATGATATTTGTCTAAGATTTATAAATCATAAACTAAAATTCATCCAAGTGTCCGAATAAACTTGCACATAAATACAATTTTTGGAATTTAAATTAAAAAGTGCCTGAAGTATATAAATATATTATGGTGAAATCTTATATATGGGATATTAATTTACATTTGGTATATATATGTTATATATAAAAAATACATATATTTGATATAATCGGTTAAACCATTATGGTGAAAATTTATATAAGAAATTTTTTATTTAAAATTTGAGGAACTATTATTATTTTTATTAAAAATGACATTAGTATTAGATAATTATTTATTTTATTTCATTGATTTTATTTTAAATTAATTTCATCAAATTATTTTTTAATTTAATATAAAGAAAACTGAAAATATCAATCCACAGTCGGGTCTGATTCATCAGTTACAAATGGATGGACAGCTCTACTTACAAAAACTTCATAAGACTGTACCAGACTTTCTTCTGCTTTAGAAATTTTCTTGCTTACTGTAACAATTGCTTGCCCATTGCTGATACAAATTCGGAGGGTTGACCAGAGCTCAAAAGTTCTCTGCCTTCTCCTACTAATTTTCATGGCAAATTTTCATGGGAGCCAAACAACCACCCAAACCCCACCATCCGCCGACGTCCCATTCTCCGGCCTACGAGGTGCTTCTCCGAGCTGGTCCACGTCTCAAGCCCCTCCAACAGGTCCACGCCCACCTCATCGTCTCGGGCTCCGGTCGTAGCCGAGCTCTCCTCACGAAGCTCCTCACCCTGGCGTGTGCCGCCGGCTCCATCGGCTACACTCACCGGCTTTTCCTCTCTGTCTCTAACCCCGACTCATTCCTCTTCAATTCTCTCATTACAGTAACCTCTAAGTTCAATTTCCCTTTGGACTCCATTCTATATTATCGTCGTATGGTATCAGCAAATATTTCACCGTGTAATTATAATTTCACGGCTGTGATTAAATCATGCGCTGATTTATCGGCTTTTGGAATTGGCAGAGGAATTCATAACCATGTCATAGTGTACGGTTTCGGATCAGATTCATATGTTCAAGCAGCTCTTGTTACTTTCTATACGAGGTCTTATGATTTGGGCGTAGCGCGTAAGGTGTTTGATATAATGCCTGAGAAAACTCTGGTAGCATGGAATTCGATGATTTCGGGTTATGAACAAAACGGGTTTGCTAATGAAGCAATTGGATTGTTTTATCTGATGAAAAACTCGCATGTTGAACCGGATTCGACAACTTTTGTGAGTGTGTTAGCAGCTTGTGCACAGGTGGGGGCTAGTGGTTTAGGCTGTTGGGTGCATGAGTATGTGCTTGTCAAGGGTTTTGAAGTCAATGTGGTGCTTGGTACTGCTTTGATTAACATGTATGCTAGATGTGGTAATGTGATCAAAGCACGAGAAGTTTTTGATTCAATGAAAGAGAAGAATGTTTTTGCTTGGACAGCTATGATTTCCGGGTATGGGGTACACGGTTACGGCAGACAGGTGGTGGACCTGTTTCATGAAATGAGAACTCATGGTCCAAAACCTAACAAAATAACTTTTGTTGCTGTATTATCAGCATGTGCTCATGCCGGGCTTGTTGACGAAGGGCGCCTTGTACTTACAAGCATGGAGGGTGAATATGGATTGGTTCCGGGAGTGGAACATCATGTTTGCGTGGTGGATATGCTTGGGCGTGCTGGCCTGCTCAATGAAGCATATCGGTTCATCAAAGAAAATACACTGAAACAACCTGCTCCAGCAGTTTGGACAGCTATGCTTGGCGCGTGCAAGATGCATAAGAATTTTGATCTTGGAGTGGAAGTTGCTGAGCACCTCCTGTCCATTGATCCAGAAAATCCTGGCCATTATGTAATGCTTTCAAATATTTATGCTCTAGCTGGTAGAATGGATAGAGTGGAAATGGTTAGAAATAAAATGATAGGAAAATACTTGAGAAAACAAGTTGGGTATAGCACAATTGAGGTGGATCACAAGACTTACATGTTTAGTATGGGTGACAAATCTCATCCTGAGACAACTGAGATTTTTCAGTATTTAGATGACTTGATGTGTAAGTGTAGGGAAACTGGGTATTTTCCCAGTCATGAGTTTGTTATGCATGAAGTTGAAGAGGAGGAGAGGGAATATGCGCTCAGATACCATAGTGAGAAGCTTGCAATAGCATTTGGACTATTGAAGACCGGTCATGGTGAGGTGATCAGGATTGTGAAGAACCTCAGAATGTGTGAGGATTGTCATTCTGCAATCAAGTATATTTCAGTTGTTTCCGATAGAGAAATCATAGTTCGGGACAAACTTCGTTTCCACCACTTTAAAGATGGTTCATGCTCTTGTATGGACTATTGGTGATGCTCACGATTATCCACTTTTGCTTGTTTGTGCAACAATACTGATTATTGAGAAGAAAAGGTGCTTAAGTTCTTTTCATTGATCTTTAATTTATAGATGAACTTAACTGATTCAGATGATAATTTGAGATTGAATTCTTTGTTGTTGTAAATAATGTGTTTAACATCTTCTACAAATTTGAGATTGAACTCCTACCCCAACCAACAGTTGAAGGAATAATATCGTTTAAAAATTTAAATTAAATTTTTTAATTATTTATTTTAAGAAGTAAAGTATATAATATACTATATATTGATTGTTATATATACATATAACTATTAATATATACGTGTATGTATATATTGATATCATATCTACTGTACATATAAGTAAAGTATATTTTTATATATTGTACAGAATATAAAATATAATTTACAAATAATAAAATATGAATAATTTTTTTGAAATAAATAATATGGATAATTAATAATGTAGATTATATATATTTATATTTATTAGTATTAATATGTAAGTAATAATTTCAACGATATTTTTAAATTAATTTTTTAAATTATTTCAATTTCCACAGTAATTTTGTCCAACGTTCACTTAGTTAAACTATTTAGACTTACTAATTTTATAATATATGTATACATGTGTTTTTGTATATATACACATACATGTATCACATATCTTCAGAGGAATACAAATATCAAAAGTTGGTTCAAGACCAATCACTTCAAACTAATAAGTTTAAATTAATTTAGATCAACGGAGCTCGATCTAATGGTTAATTTTGTTAATTTCGACTTTTACTTAGAACTATATATTATGTTTACTTATAACAAGTAGTGAATCTATATATTGTACGTATCAAATCTCTCATCTAGAATAGACAAACATCAGAGACACACATCTATAGAATATCTCACCGAGGGTACACTAATTCTGTCAGAATTGGTTTCAGAAAGCATGCTTTTGAACTTTCATGGACAAAAAAGCTCTCTTTCTTCATTGTTATGTGAGACAACAGTTCTTTCCCACCCAAAATTCACATGACATTGATATACGGCTGGTATCAAATAAATTAAAAAATGAATGTACAAATTCCAATGGGTTTCACGTGTATATCACAAGCTATCAAAATTTTTTTGAGCAGATTCACCTTGCAATTCCACATTGCTAACCGTAGGCACTTTCTCATACACATAATTCTCTCTGAGCTTCCTCGGTAGAATGCTCCAACCACCAAACCGCTGCTGCAAGAAAATTAGGATAGCAAACAGCATGCCTCCGCAGGGGATGATGATGTCCCATGCTGTGGAATAGAAGTCCATTTTATGATTTGCGTAAATGTATGACCAATCAAGATACCATGAAGAGCTGTGGGCCCTGTAAAGATCATATGCATGGGGGAGAAGACGAACTATGGTTGTTCCAAGATAAAAGGACGCAGCCAGAGGCCTTTCTCTCGAGTTAAACACTGCGTTGAACAGTACCTGTGGCAGCAAAAAACCGTCAAGGATTAAACCTCCATAAGATTTGAGGTCTCCCCAAAGAGAATGCTGCTGGCGAACATGCCGTTGGTAGGGTCGTATGAAACCCCTATGATGTGCTCCTATGAATGGGCTCCTTTGAGAATTCTTCACAAAGTTCACTAACCAAGCAATTAATCCACCGGCAATATACAGTGGTAAAGACATGTACAAGACCTTTCTGTCTGAAACCCATAGCTCTGATTGGCTTTCAGAATCAAGTCTTGCAGTCCATGACAGTTGAAGAAGACGGAACTCCAACAGGAAAGCTACCATTGTTACCATTCTTACAATTATTTCATTTGCTTCAAGCCACCCACCATTCTCAACAAACATATACTGCTGGTTGTGGTTAGTCGAGAAGAATGCCTCGAAGTTCAAGAGTAACGGAATCATGTGTCCCAGAGTAAGAACAATAAGCATAACAATGGACACAAATGGAAGCATGTCCGGATGCTTCTTCATATGATAGAGCTGCAGGCCCACAAAGAGACAGGCAAGAGTATTGGAAATCAGAACCATGGTAATCTCCAAATCCATTCTCCAAATTGATTCTTTAGCTTGACGGGAGGAAATCGAATTTGACCAAAAATCAATCCGTTCAAAGTAGAGAGGATCCGACTTTTCTCGTGTGCTTCCAATTGTTCCACTGACACGATCACTGCTTTGTGAATCTAGAGGAGAAAATTCAGCATTGATCACAATATCGCAGTCCATTGAGTGATTTTTCGATGATTTTTCGCTGTTTGATCCTAAAGGCCAACATCCTATCATGCACAAGACACCAGTATCCCGATCGTACGTTCCCTCAGCAGAGATTTCAACTCCTCCAGTTGTATGAGCATCACCACCAAACCTTAAATCAGA